AGGCCTGAAGGACGGAGAGGAACACTTCTTTTCACTGAAGTGTTTACTGTGGAAATAATGATAATGGATGTCAAATTGTAAATAATGTTCGTTATGTCCCTAACCAATTACCTGACAGTTTTTGTTCCCCTCCCATTACAGGGTTTTGTTACACATGATTTCATGTGTAAAAGGGGGGAGTGTGTATAATGTATAAATGTCAACATGGCTGTAAAATTCACAATTTAAATGTTTCTTTTAAGGATAGACAGAAACCTTCCGCCCCAACCCAGATGTTCAAACTGAGCATTGAATGTAATTAACCTGCTCCATATCTGGGGATAAGATACTGTTTGATGAATGTTGAGATGTTTCTAAATATTGATTTGAGTTATAACAGGTAACACAGAAGCAGTGGCCAAGGGGCTACTGTGAGAGATGTAATTCCAGAATAGAATACCGAAGAAGTTGACCTGTGATAATGAAACAATTTTGTAATAGTTTAACAGACATTAGAGTAACTGAGGTTTGAAATGTAGAAAGAACATATTACAGTTAAAGCTAAAACATAGTAGTGTATTGAGACAGAATTTAATTTAGACAACATCATGTAACTAGCCTGGTAAAGAAGTAAAAGCCATAGACTTTATTGTTTAGGTCATTATGGGGATATACATTTCATCTAAATGTATAATAGAAAGACATTTGATGACAGTTTGTTGGAATTCTGTATTCATTTTTTCAGCGTGATAATATCTAAGCACTGACAGGTAGAAGCAGTATCACCAGGAAATCATTCACTTTGTTAGTATCATGATTTTGGTTGTTTTTGAATCCATAACATTAGTGTGTTTCTTTACCAGAACCATTAGCAGTTCATATTATATTTGGATTTTAAATAGGATGTCATTTAAAAATAAACACGGATGCTTGTCAGAAATTCAGAGCTATTGAAATATGTTATTTAGTTTACCTAAAGATGTTGAGGTTCTTATTTAGTTGGCACAATCCAAGTATTAAGATTCTGAAGCTGCACTGGCAGATAGGAGGTCTACAATTAATTTAGAAAACCTGTTCACAGACGGCTGTTGTTTCAAGACACCCCACCAACAGGCTCCAAGTGGGTCAAAACAGCTGAGCGTAGTCTTGAGGGAGTTGTATCAGATTTCTCCACACAGGTTGCTGGCGCCAAAAGGGGGACCCGAGAAGCACGAGGCCGACACAGCAGAGTTCGTCTGGCTGAAGGTCATCAGGACAAAGTGGCTCAACCCCAGGCTCTCCGGCCCCGACCGAGTGACCCAGCGGACCTCTTATGCCGTCTGCCTGGGAGAAAAGGGGGACAGCTCGTACCACGGGAGCCAGTGTGCGGCGGGGAAACCACCTGCTAGGACCAGGGGACGACATCAGGACGGACGTGGCCCTGGCAGACGTGGACTACTCGGAAGCAGCGGACTGGAGGAGCAGGACCCTGGAGACATCCTTACAGCAGACGACCCGGGAGGCATCATCAGCGGGCCGGAGGAGGAGGAGGAAGACATCTCTCTAGCAGGCAGCCCAGAAGCTGCCGTCAGCGGATCGGGGGGACAAAGACACGGCAAGCCAGGACGGCACAGGGGACTTGTCGAGGCAGCAGAGGAGTCTACTTCTCTCTGATCAGTTCCACCCGTGAAGGGAAAGCTGCATCTCCCCCTCCCTATTAGCTGTCCTTGTGGGCTATTCCTCCGAGGGGGGGGGGGGGGGGGGGGGGGGCTGATGATTCTAGCACTCAGCTGCCCCCTCATGGTTCCTTCACTGCCATGGAAAGTGGTGTTCTGTCTCCATTAAGTTTTCAAGTACTCTAAATACCAGCTTCGGATGGATTTATACAATGTTTGGGGGACGGACACAGTAGAAAAGAATGACAGTGGGTATATTTCAAAATGCCTTGTCTAAGTTTATCTCTGGAGAAGGAGATAAAAAGGGGGATTTGTAGTGAAAGATTTGTATTTATTCATGTTAGCAAACGATGGATAAGCTTAAAATGGGAATAATTTGGGTAAAACTGTGAGCTGGATTTGGGGCCTGTTGACATGTGTTTTTGAGGACAAAGGAAGATGGGGGAAGGTGAGAGCATGTCTTGAGTTGCATTCAACTTAGATCTAGCTACAGTGATTGGGGAAACCTAAGGTCTAAGGTGTTAGGGATATTTGGGGCTGCCAATCAAGGAGGTCCAAATGGGAGGATCTGATAACTCCTCCCATTGTCAAAGAGTATAAACACAGACACACACGCGGTGTTCAGCCTCTTTCCTCTGGCTGGCTCACGTGCAGGTAAATTCGGGATCCCAAAGATTAACTGTATTGAATTTGTACTGTATTGATTGTATTGATTGTCATATTACCATTAAAGTAGATTAACGGTTACTTGGTAGCTCTGGATTCCTTCCTGTATTAACCAGCTTGATAGGGACGCGCGGAGATTTGAAAAGCGGACCAGTTATCCCTTTAAATCTCTAACCACACACACACACACACACACACACACACACACACACACACACACACACACACACACACACACACACACACACACACACACACACACACACACACACACACACAATTCTGAGACCAAGTCAAATTAACCTTTCCTTTTTTATTCTATAAACTACTGACAACATTTCTCTGTGTTGGAATTCTACAGACACTATACAGATATACACGTATAGCTTATAAGGAAATAATACATGAATGTATATCACAATATATCTAAATATCTATTTGTATTACACATACAAAGTTCATAGGCTACTATATAAGAAATAAAGTGAAGATAATTGTTGTATTAGCAATATTGAAATGTTTACCTGCCACTGGCACATCGCTAAAATGCGCCTCAACCTTCTGCGCCTTCTGTTGGATCTTGCCATTGCACCCGCTAACAGGCGATGGATAACAACGCAGGTCAATGCAGCCGACAGATGGAGATGTGAGTTGGACACCATGACGTCCGTTTCCGTTTCCGTTTCCTGCGGAGAGAGGGGAGGCCGTCCCAAAGCTTGCCGCTGTATTTATACCCTTAACCCTTAATGGAGGGAACTTCATTCAGCTGTGAGTGTGCCTACAGACGGAGTTCACTCCGTCACGGAGGGGGAGGGTCGAGGGAGTGGTTTGGGATTGGGCCTGAATCGCGTGAATGGACCGTGAACCAGTCAAGTGATTCATTCAGGAAATGAAGCAGTTGCTGCTTCGGACGTCACATGTCACGTGATTTGAAGCAAGCTTCGAAGCACTGCTTCTATGGAATAGGAAGTCCAGGGTTGAAGCTCCAGTGTCAAACTGCCATCACTACTTGCACCGCGCTGTCTACGCTTCCAAAGGAAGGACGCTGCACGGCTGCCTTATCTACTGAATCTGGTGAGTGATTTAGCTAACAGGGCTTGGTTGAATTATCGTACTTTTGGGTGTAACACAGCCACAGGAAGTATCAACTGGCGGGAACACGCTGTGGGCTTCTCTCGCATTGTTTAAGTACTTGTTAGAGGAAAATAAAATGTTAACAGACTTTGACAGTTACAGATAAATTCGAATAATGCTGCCGTTTATTTTCTGAATTAAAGTTCCATTCGTTCCGTGGAACGGACTTTTTATTTTGGCGGAAGCATTACGATCATTTTTAAGTCAATTAAATCATTTAAAAATTGATATTATGAATAATTTGTTTTTTTTTTAGTATGTAGCCGTGTAATAAGCGGTAGAATGTGCTGCTAGGTGGTCATTAGGGGGGGGGGGAATCCCCGCAGTGTGATCATGGAGCCTGCGGAGGGATCTAGATCTTAATAGCGACCGCATTAAGTTTTCATTTGATTTACCTCACTTAACTGCAGCACTTCTACGCTACTGCAGTCAGGCAATGTGTGTTTCCCTCGCTTTTGTTAACTTTTACTGAGCGATAGTAGGCTACGAGGTGCAGTTTTAAACAGATAGTGCTGTACTTTTTTCACTTGTTCGTGTTCACTGAAAGACGTAGATTTTTTTTTCACCCAGTTGCTGTTTTTGTCACCTTTCTTTTAGTCGTGTGAGTCGGACACCACCCCACATTAACGCCGGACGCTCGAACCCAGCCACAGGCTGTCTCAGGCTTCCATCATAGGGAGAGGAGGGTGGCGCTTGGACGGCTGCTTTGTGCTACTACATCAGGTGAGACGCCATTTAGCTAACATTAGCGACCACATTACATTATCAGATGTTGTTGATTAACGTCCCTTAAAGGTGGGGTATGTCATTTATTTCAGAAACACTTATTGTTATATTCCATGGAATGCTCTTAACATCCCGATAGCAATGCATATATGAAATGCTTGGACAATAAATACATACAAAATGTTCATCTGTGGAAGCCGTAGCACTGTAAAAAGCACGACCAATCATTTTAGCCGGCCCGGCTAAAATAGCTGGATGGCCTACCTGCCTGTCAGCCTGAGAGGGGTCTGCCTGCAGGTTCCACTCTCAGGACACCTCCACTCTCACGGAGGTGATGAGTCCGCTCACCATGCACTTTGGGTCGGCCTTGGGCAGGCCTTTTGAACCCCCCATCCTGGTTCTCGTAATAGTTGACTTAGCCATTTTTCGCTCAAACCATGGAGGAATGTAACGGGAGTTAACAGGGGACTCTGCCCGCCTCACGAGTGCCTATTTTCGGACACTTTTTGTCACTTTTCCCCCTATTTTCCCCGGTTTTATTAATGTTTCTTTTTTTGGCTATTTCACCTGGTTCCTTCTAACGGGGACATAGCCCGGTCTCGGGTGTCCCCCTACGGCCTGTGTCCAGCCGTTCCCCCCACCCCCACCCCCACCCCCACCCCCACACCCACCACTCATCCATATATTAACCGATTTTGACAATTCTTGTTGCATTTTTGTCCTCTCTTCTCACTGATAGAATGGCAAACGCGACCCACCATCGGAAGGCCTCCACCGGCCTAGTGCCGGTGTCCTGACGGTCGGTTCCTCCGAACTGCGGGTTCGACTCTGATGGCCGCGAGGGTGTGCTGCGTGTCTCTTCCCGGGCCGGGCCGATATGAAGCATGACCAAGACGCATCGTCTGACTCGGGGGTCCCACCACGGGTCCCGCAGCGGGGTGGAGGTTCCAGGCTGAAACCTCCCCAGGTTTGTTTGTCCTTTTGTGTTCTAAATGTAATGTTCATAAAATGTAGTTATATCCTCATACCTACTTAAATATCTGATTTTATTAAGATATTACTGTGAGAAGTGCACAGAGGCATCTTGAAAAATCAGATGGTGAAGCAAGCAAAAGCTGTCTAAATAAAAAAAAATGCACTTATTTGTTTCACCAAGGATGATTTTATTTGACAGTTTTACATGGTTTGTTCTCTTTTGTGTTTCAGGTTTATTGCGAGTTCAACAGAGTGGTGGGGAAAAATCTCAAGGACAACTTCTTCGATGCACTTGACCGTTTCTCTCCGAGCCTGATGGACCTCTTCAGGAAGAAGAAGGGTGTCACTGGCCAATTTCTGTCTGAGCTTTTAAGTCAGACAAAGGTGGGTTTACTTAAGATAACATCTGTCTACCCAATCTCTTTCCTCTCTCCTTGTTCCTCTTCTGTCCCTTTGACTTCCTTCTCATCTCTTATTTTCTCTCATTTGCTGCTCTTGTCCTGTCAATTTATTTGCATCTCTTCATGTGTCATTGTTTCCTCTTTTCCCTTGTTCATTTTGCTTTGCTCTCTTGTTTTGTTTCCTATTATATTCTTTGGTCAAGAAGAAATTATGTTCTCTCCCTTTTCTATTGTCCCATCATGTCATCTCCTTTTGTCCTCTCCTTTACTTTCAAGTATATTTGCAATAAAGTAATTGTGTAGAGTTTGTAGAATGTATTTGATGAATATATGACCATTCTTTGTTATCTCCACCATATTCCAGACCACTGAGCCAACAGATGCCTTTGTGTTCGGGGACTGCCAATCATCTTGGGGGATGAGCCTTCTGCCTTCTTCAAGACCTGCACCGTAAGTGACTTTAACCCTTGTGTTATGTTCACATTTGGCACCCTTTGGTAATTTTTGGGTGAAATTGACCCGGGACATTATTCAGAGTTTAAAAAAATACGGAACTAAATTTAACTTACACTATTCCTTATATATATTGTCTTTAACTAATTCACCAACAATATAAATGAAATATGATATGTTTTTTAAATATGTATGATGCTTTTCATTATAAACAGTGGAAGCTACTTTTTGGTGGACGATGTAGAATTATATGTCAATCTCTTTATTTCTCTGTTAGGATGCGGCTGATAAGGAGGTGTACAGTCAAACTCCACTGGGAATCCTCTGTCGGAGAAAATCCTCAGCTCAACCCATCCAGTGTGGCAATCGTCTTGGAGGGGAATGTGGTGATGGATGGACCGGCTAACCTGCCTCAGGCCTTCTGTGTCCTGTTCAGACTCATTTATGCCCTGCAACTGGAGTGCATGAAAAACACTTTCCACTTTGCTCAGCAGGTGATATTAAAACTTGGTAAAGTTGAGCTGGCACCCAAAATTCAGACTTTGAAAAATCAGCTTACATTGTGAAACGGGGTTCTGAAAAGTTGGCTACTGTTACATATGGCAAGTATTTAGGCTTCCATATTGCATTTTGTTGTTGTTGCATGTTTGCACTGTTTGACCTATTAAGCTTGTTGGCATTTCCATTTGTGTTTTATTCTATAAACTACTGACAACATCTCTCCCAAAAGTCATTTAGAGCATTTATTTGCAGAAAATTACAACTGGTCAGAATAACAGAGAAAATGCTGTGTTTTCAAACCTCAAATGATGCAAAGAAAACAAGTTCTTCATTATTAAACAACACAATACTAATGTTTGAACTTAGGAAGAGTTCAGAAATCAATATTTGGTGGAATAACCCAGATGTTTCAATAACAGCTTTCAATGCGTCTTGGTTGCTCGCCACCAGTCTGTCACATTGTTGCTGGGTGACTTTATGTCTCTCCTGGCACACAAACTCAAACAGCAATGTGAAAGGTGTTGCAGCCAAGACGCATGAAAGCTGTGATTGAAAATCTGGGTTATTCCACCAATTACTGATTCCTGAGCCCTTCCTATGTTAAAACATTAGTATTGTGTTGTTGAAAAATGAATTTTAAATTGTTTTCTTTGCACTATTCGAGGTCTGAAAACACTCATTTGGTATTTTTTGTAAATAAATGCTCTAAATGAGAATATTTGGAGTTTGGGATAAATGTTGTCAGTCATTAATTTATAGAATAAAACACAAATGTTAATCCAGTTTTTACCAATAGTAAAACGAGAGAAACTGGTAATTTTACAGAGGTCTCTTAATTTTTTCAGAGCTCTACATAAATATATAGATCTATATATATTTATATATATATATATATATAGAGAGAGAGAGATTGCTATTGTTTCATGTGAAAAATGTTCTCAGGAAAATGTATGGTACAATATTTTTGCCACAGTTTGTATAGGAAGCTCAATTTCATTGTATCCAAATGAAACACTCAAGTTTTAATAAAAGATAAAACTTTATTTTTGTGTCTTTTTTCTTTTTTGTAGTTGACGGAATAAAAAATATAAATACGAAATGTAACCACTTTCAACTAAATATTCTAAGTTAAATAATTGGAAAAAAACAATTGATATTACACAATATTTTAAGTAAAATCAACTTGACATGAAGTGGATTGTACTTCAAATAACAATTAAAGTCCTTGATTAAATTAAGTTTAATTTACTCAAGTTTTCATAATGCTTTACTTACATTTTTAAAGGCAACCACTTTACGCTATTTTTTTAAGTAGATTCAACTTATCCGGGCTTACAGTGAGGGAGAACTCACAGAGGATGGAGCAGGCATTGAGGTCCTCACAGAGGATGTAGAGGGAGAACTCACAGGGGATGGAGCAGGCATGGAGGTCCTCACAGAGGATGTAGAGGGAGAACTCACGGGATGGAGCAGGCATGGAGGTCCTCACAGAGGATGTAGAGGGAGAACTCACGGGATGGAGCAGGCATGGAGGTCCTCACAGAGGATGTAGAGGGAGAACTCACAGAGGATGGAGCAGGCATGGAGGTCCTCACAGAGGATGGAGAGGGAGAACTCACAGGGGATGGAGCAGGCATGGAGGTCCTCACAGAGGATGTAGAGGGAGAACTCACAGGGGATGGAGCAGGCATGGAGGTCCTCACAGAGGATGTAGAGGGAGAACTCACAGGGGATGGAGCAGGCATGGAGGTCCTCACAGAGGATGTAGAGGGAGAACTCACAGAGGATGGAGCAGGCATGGAGGTCCTCACAGAGGATGTAGAGGGAGAACTCACAGAGGATGGAGCAGGCATGGAGGTCCTCACAGAGGATGTAGAGGGAGAACTCACAGGGGATGGAGCAGGCATGGAGGTCCTCACAGAGGATGTAGAGGGAGAACTCACAGAAGATGGAGTAGGCATGGAGGTCCTCACAGAGGATGTAGAGGGAGAACTCACAGAGGATGGAGCAGGCATGGAGGTCCTCACAGAGGATGTAGAGGGAGAACTCACAGAGGATGGAGCAGGCATGGAGGTCCTCACAGAGGATGTAGAGGGAGAACTCACAGGGGATGGAGCAGGTATGGAGGTCCTCACAGAGGATGGAGAGGGAGAACTCACAGGGGATGGAGCAGGCATGGAGGTCCTCACAGAGGATGTAGAGGGATAACTCACAGGGGATGGAGCAGGCATGGAGGTCCTCACAGAGGATGTAGAGGGAGAACTCACAGAGGATGGAGCAGGCATGTAGGTCCTCACAGAGGATGTAGAGGGAGAACTCTCGGTACTTTAAGAATGACGGGGAAAAGTACTCCGGTGAGAAAACACTGTTTTAATAAGAGCCGTGTGTGTTCAGCGCTCTGCTTCCACTCCCTGCACTGCAGCCGTGCCTGCAGTCCCTCCCCTCTCAAGCACGCTCTAAGTCCCTCCCCTCTCAAGCACGCTCTAAGTCCCTCCCCTCTCTCATGCACGCGCTAGCTGCCAGAGCATGTGAGAAAACGAGAAGCATGGCTGTGAGTGGGAGTGCAACTACCGCTGCGCCTTGGCTTGTTGACAAAAAAGACGCCAGAAGCGAAATTTGGAAGTATTTTAGCTATATCTCTGACAGTGAAGGCAAGCCTACGGACACCACGAGGCCTGTCTGTAAAAATCATACCCTCGTGGGGGCGCGCTCATGTGATTGTCTTAGAATGAAGGAGACATCTGATTGGCTATAGATAGAACACATTACAAGTACAATCGGGTGAGCGTCAGGGGAGTCTCAAAAAACCCACACACGAATGCACAGCGATCCGTGCACAGAAAGAGGTTTATGTTTGTAGGTGCAGAGGTTTTAAACGGAAAACAAATATGTGAGGATCAAAAATACATATGTAAAACATTTTTCTGTATTTGGATTTTATTTACATGTAGGCCTATATGGAACGGAACACATTTGTGTGTGCATTGAAAAACACAAGTGTGGATCCTTCTGTGTGCATGTGTGTATTATGAGACCGTTCTGAGCCCATAATGATATGTTTCACTTTGAGCACTTGTGGTAACCGCGCTTGTATTGTTATATTTCGATGTATACCCCAAGAGTTTCCAAATGTACTTCCATTGTAGCAATGAATACCAGTTAAGTAACACGGAATGCAGTAGTTTCCAAAATGATTTAAGTTTGTTGGAACTACAAATTAATGTTACAGTTAAGTATAGCAGATCTTACTGTTAAGTTAAATGAATAAAGGTGAGTTAAGTTAGTATTATATAATATCTTTATGTTGGCATTCATCAAAAAATCAAGTATGTCTAAAGAAACTGTACTCTGTTGACGTAATATTGCTCAGTTAATTCCCCGGCCACACGAGGACGAAAATGGCCGTTAGCGTTACTGTTTAGTGTCATATAGACCATTCGGCCATACGAGGACGACCGAATACGGCACTAAACGACTGAGGAAACGACAACGGGTCCCAAGGTGGATAGAACGGCATACGCAACGCTCTGGGGGGTCAAACGGCTCCGTGTGTGCGCCCTATACGAACATGTTCTGATAGTGATTGCGCAATAGCAATAGCCCTGCCTCTCCCCACCTCTTCTGCTCATCTCCGCGTACCCCGCGCCATTGCTGATGTGTTTCGCCACCAACAACAACAACAACAATGGCGGATCGCAGAGTTGCTATCGTGCTCCGGACGCTACTGACCATATTACAGTTATTTGTGCAACATCTACAGCAGACTTACACATCCAGGGGGGTTCTTACTCGCTGCTTTTGTGGATATGTACTGCAGCTTCTGCGATCATTTTCTGATAATGATTGCGCATAGCCCCGCCTCTCCCCACCTCTGCTGCTCACCCCCGCGTCAAAGTAAACGGCACACTGAATTCAGATTATTTATCTTTCTCTCGATATGGACATAAACGCGAGAGAAGTCTAACCTGACAGGACGGAGACACCTCTCAAACTACTGTCGGCCGGGTCACTCATTACTGGATCAGCTGCTGCATGAGACAGACACTGGCGCTGTCAGAAGAGAGGGTGGAAAAACAGAGGCTCCGTGTATTTTTATTATTATATTATATAGAGTCGTTATTCATTTGTTTTAAAGCTCAATAAATAACAAAGAAGACCTTTGACCGGCACTTTTATAATTGTGTCGGAAGATTTAAACTTTAATTCACGTTGACTGGCGAACAACTCTGCCCGGTTCCCTCGGCCCCCACCGCGGAGAATAAACAGAAGGGCAACCATGACAACCATGCTTCTTCGCTGCTTTTGTGGAGGAAGTTACAGCGCCACGTACAGGCTCCTGCATATGTACTGGAGCTTCTCCAGCGGTTGGAGCTAAACGGAGCGGTCTCGTGTGGGCAGACACTATCCGGATAACTATTGCGTGTGGACGGAAGCTTGTTTGCGATTGCGTTTGCGTTAATCCTATGCGTTTAGCCGTTTTCGTCCTCGTGTGGCCGGGGTCTAAGTTAGCTGGACACAGAGCTATTAATTAAATCCAGGGTGACCGGGTATTGTTGAAGTTAATTAACACGGTCATGTTGTCTGAACATAAGTCAGTTATATTCTTCTTACTAGTGTTATTTAATGATAACCTACTCAACTCAGTTTCGTGGAATTTGTTGACACAACTTTATTAAGTAAGTCCAAGAAATTATTTTTTTGAGTGCAGGTTGAAAGGATAAAACTAAAAACAAACAAAAAAACATATCACCTCACAACTTCCCCAGATAGTTACTTACGTCAAGTCAGTATTTCCCCATAAATGCTTAAATGCAAATTAGCTTTAAATCTATACAGTAGATACATTCAGACATGGTAATAAAACGAACACCATTTATATGTATTTTTTGGAAGTTTTCTTTCCATTAGATCAGGGGTGGGGAACCTTTTTCCTCTCGAGGGACATTTCAATTTTTTCAACATCCTCCGAGGGCCGTACAAATGATTGACCTCTGCTTAAAAAGACTAAAATCACAGCCCATTCATTTGGCCTTTCTTTCATGCTGTGCAAAGAAAAAGCAACCTCACACACACATGTGAAACGCTCTCACACACTTATGTGAAACGCTCTCACACACACTTGTGAAATGCTCTCACACACACATGTGAAACGCTCTCACACACACATGTGAAACGCTCTCACACACACTTGTGAAACGCTCTCACACACACTTGTGAAACGCTCTCACACACACATGTGAAACGCTCTCACACACACATGTGAAACGCTGAGTTCAGTATTGAATTAATTTGCTTTTCAGTTAAAAAAGGAAGGCCTTCCTGTCAC